CCAATTGCATAGGAGTATATTGTTTGTAATTGTTTTGTTCATGTAAAAATGAATGTGATAAATAATAATAATAATGTAAGGGCAAAAAGCAGAGTTAATAATAACAATGATAATTTTATATATTTCATTCATTCATTCTGTCCTCTTTACAGTGGGTTGCAGTTGATGGACAGTTCTTCCCCACTCTTCACAAATGTAGGCTTTTCCCAAGCTTGAGCCAGTCCATTTTTTGATGTTGTCTTGCCAGGTTAGCCTAGGTCTTCCCTTTCTCCATCTGCCCTCCACCTTACCTAATGTTATTGATAAGACGTCTATTAATTTTTATACCTTCATCTAGATTTTTGAATGCTTCTCTCATCATCCATTCACTGTAGATGTTAAAAAGTGTTGGGACAAACCACATCCCTGTCTTATTCCTTCTTTAATCTGAATCCATTTGGCATCCTCTCCCTGAAATATAACCATTGCTTTTTGACTTTTATAGACATTATAGATTATTCTCAGTAATTTTTTTTATCAATACCTATTTTTTGCAGAATCTCAAACAATAGCATTTCATTAACACTATCGAAGGCCTTCTCGAAGTCAACTAAACATACAAATAACCTCTAGTATGATCAATCATCCTTTATCCTGTAAGTTGTATCATTGTAATGGCTTCTCTTGTCCCTCTGCCTCTTCAGAAACCAAATTATGACTCATCTAGTTTCCAATTTATGTAGTTTTCTATTCTTCGCTGTATGATGTTAACTAAAACCTTTGAAGCATGGCTTATCAAACTAGTAGTTCTGAATTTATCACAGTATAAGGTACTCACAGTTTTAGGAACAGGGATGAACATAGATTTTGTGAAATCATTTGGAATATCTATCTCTAAAATTTTGCTAAAAAAATTAGTTAGGATTCCTTCCTTAAAGCTATGGGGAAATGTTCTATCTTCCTCCATAGCCTTAAGGGGTTCTCCTTGTATTTCATCCATTCCTGGTGCCTTTCTGTCCCTCAGCTTTTTCAATGCAGCATCAATCTCTTCCTTAAAAAAGGTTACTCTCTCTTCTTTCTCCTCATCCCTTCTAGGTTTAAATTGTCCTCATTTCCATAGAGATTATCTACATATCTTTCCCATCTTAGCACTTGTTTATCTTTCTGCAATAAAATGTTTTCATTTTCATCTCTCAGAGTCCCAATTCTGCATTTCCTTTTTTTCCCTGAGATTAACCTTAGCTTTTCATATACTCCTCTTAAGTTGTTCCCATTTACGCAATGACCATAATTGATTCCAGACCAGATTTCCAGACCATAATTGATTCAACCACTTTTCCTTTGCCTGTTTGCACATTATTCTTATTTGTTTATTATGATTCTATATTTTTCTTTTGTATTATTAGTGTTTTTATATTATCTTCTTTCATCCATCTTTTCTGCTATCTCCTCTGTGACCCAAGGCTTCTTTATTTGTCTCCTTTTCTTGCCGAGGATGTCAACCGCAGTGTCTTTAAATTTTTTTTCAAATCATTTCAGGTTTCTTCTGTGCTTCTATTAGTGTTGAAATTTTGCAGTCTTCCTGATATGTCAGCCTGAAAAGTCTTCTCAATGTAGTCTTTCCTCAATGCCTCTATATTGAGCCATTCTTTTGCTATTTTTGTCCTAACATATTTCAGCCTTATTCTTAGTTTTGTTACCAGTAGACTATGATCACTGTTGCAATCTGCATCTGGATAAGTCTGTGTTAATTATTGCATTTCTAAATCTGTAGTTGACTAGAATTTAATCAATTTGGTTTCTTGTTTCTGCTCTTCTTAACCTGTTCCAAGTAGCCAATCTTCTTTCATGATGTTGGAACTGGGTGTTAGTTACAATCATGTTGGTTCTTCTGCAAAATTCAATAAGTCTACTTCCTCTTTCATTCCTTTCTCCTAAGCCCCATGGTCCAATTACATTATCTTCTCTCCCTCTTCTGATCTTGGCATTCATGTCCCTCATAATAATCACTACATCTCTCTTCTTTTTAACTTGTAGGCATTTGTTTATTTGTTTATAAACTTCCTCTGTCTCCTCATCTGAATGGTCAACATTTATCCTCAGTGCTATAGTTCTATCAGATACTTCCAATATCCATCAATTAATTTAACCATCTTCTTTTCCAGCATTATCCCAACTCCTCTTTGATGTTCTGTTCCTCCTGAGTAAATAAATCTTTTTTCTTTCAGTGATAATATCTCCTTTTCCAGTCCATCTTGTTTCAGAAATCCCTAAGATTGAGATCTTCAGTCTTTTCATTTCATGCATTACATTTGCCATCTTTCCTATTTGATATAAAGATCTAACTATCCAGGTACCTGTATAAATGCATTTCTTAAGGTTTGCATAGCTGTGTGGAATTTTTGTATCCAATCCAAGAGTCCCTAATGGCTTTGATCCTGTAGTGTCATTTAAAGCATTTCTCTCGTTTGATCTGTGTACTTCCTGTAATTCCAGTACAGGTCTGCTGCACCTCTAACTGGTAGCCAATTGCATAGGGGTCATACTCCTATCCATTTCTCTGCTAAATGGATTATTTCTTCTGTCCATCAAATCTTGGGGAGACAGATACATGGTGGTTCCCTGTTGCATTTTATGCTTCAGCTCTTATATTTAATATAATTAATTATTTTTCAATTAATTACATCAAACAAAACTTTAAAATACAGTCGACCCCCCAATAACGCGGTAGATACGTTCCACTTTATAAGAATTTCGCGTTGTAGGAATCCTTAAATACATGAGCCAATCATAGCCCGGCACGTGTGCAGTTTACGGACTACTGCTGTTTGAAAGGTTTTCTTCCATAAAATTAATTGATTCTAGACCAATTTGACTCAACATTTCTAAAACATGTATAATTTTTTGGGAATAATCCGTATGAACTATGCTATAAACAAAAAATTGTAGGATTACTTACCGAGTGTGCACCGTTCAACGACGCCATTGCTTAAGCTTGTTTTCGTCACAGAGCGGCGCACCAAACAGCGGGTGTGTTTTCTGATAAGTTATTTTTCTGCGAGAAATTTGTTGAACTTTGGAGACATCATTAATAGAAATAATTTTTATGGCCATTGAATAAGAAATGCTTTTTTCACAAGAAATGTATAAAATTACAGTACTGTATTAGACTTACAGTATCTAATTTACATACCGTACAGACGATAGTAAACTCAATTTACCTGCCTAAACTCTCCATAGCGTGTAAGTAGTTCGGCTGCTCGTCCACTATTGGTCCAGATTCGACCAATCCTGTCGTGACACGAGTCGGCAATGACGTTTTACCGCATTTTATGAGTCTCTTTTAGCATCTTTATACGAATACAGTCACAATTTTTTCGCCGCGATATACGAATCCGCATTATATGAACCTATGTTATGGGGGGGTCGATTGTATTTGATTACTTCAATTTTAAATTCTTCTATTCTATTCTCCTCTTCTAACATTAATCTTATTAATATTAATTAAATGCTTCCAAAATAAAAACGACAGGTATAACGAAAAATACAAAACAAATGTTTTCTTATGTTCCACAGAATTGCATGTACAAAGAGACACTATGGTTTACACAAACCTAGCCACCACAACAGTTTTGACATTGTATATTTTGCATTCTAAATATATAAAATTCCAGAAATGTTATGTATCGTATCCAATTATAAATATATTCCTACAATAATTCAATTAAAAGAGATTTTTCAGTAAGATTTCAAATAAATTTGTCGATTCTATGCTATTAAATATAAGAAGGACAGTCACAAATATTATTTGCTAGCAAATGAATAAAACTCGAATGTAGAAATCATAAATAATTATTATTTGTATTGACAATGATGAAATTGTGTCCTCTGTGTAGAAGGTGAATACAATATGCAATTGTTCCATTTCTATGTAACATTATATTCACAGTGGTACCATTCAACTTCTAGTTCTGAAACCATTCTTTACTTTTTCCCTTCTGTTCTTTCTTGTAAATATACATATACCTTGCTTTGAGAAATGGCAGAAAAATTTAATTTCTAAGTTATTTAGAATGATTTTTAAAATGTTGATATTAAGCCAGAAAGATTCAAAAGCATTAGTTTTAAATCTTTAAAACTTTGCTCCAATAATGAGTTTAGATTGCAGTAACGATATCAACGAGCAATTATTTGTTATGACATTGTCACAATGCTGGGCTGAAATTTTTAATCATATTCTTAATTTATTCAATTTAAAATATATGTTATCCATCTCAACTTGTAGTGTCTTGCCCCTGTACATCATACTATTCCTGATGACAACAGAGTTGTGCTAGTCATCTATGTAACTCCCAGTCTAAACAGGAAGTTCGTATACAGTTAATTGGAGCCTCCTGCACCTAAGTTTTCCATATCTGGTCTCAACTTTTATCTATCTAGCACTGTTCTCATGATTAAGGAAGGAGACAGCAGACAGAGGGAATATATAGATATACAATTTTTTCAAACTGTAGCCCAATAATAATTATTATACAGTAAGATGCAATTTTCTTATGTTTGTATCTTATTGTTTTTAAAAAATTTTTAAATTTAATTAAGAAAATGCTGTCCAAATCAATTATATCAATATATTACCATGTGTCAAACTGTGGCTCATACAGCTGAATGTTGTTCTTTTAGACTCTTATTGAAGATCCCATATAGTTGTATAATTTCTTTTTTATAAACTTAGTACATACTGCTTACACATACATAATATTTTTGTAAGATTTTTGACTATTACATTTAGTATATATATAAAGATTTTAGGTGCAATTCACAACTTAATGTTGAACAGACAATTGAAAGCTTAAGGTATGGTACATGCATAAAGTTGAAGGAGTTAAATAATTAAAGAAGAAAAAAAAAAAGTCAGTATCACTGTAGATTTGTTATTGCCTCTGCTAAGCATGTGAAGGGACAGATAAAGATGGACTCAATTATATGTATAGTCCAAAAAGAAATATATTTTTTCTATAAGAGTTAAATAATTGTTTATCTAGTCAGTCATAAAGTACCAGTAAAGTCATAACAGTGATAACTATAGTATTTTAACTATATATAATATAAATAGATGATGTAGATTCTAATAGTCATGTAGCTCTTGTGTATTTCTGATAGGCAGTGTATGTCTCCTAATATGACAAAGTTTGGCCACCCCTGACATATTATATGAAAAAAATAATAGGAAACATTTTTAAATAGATTGTAGAAAATTTTCATTGTATTTTGTTTACAAATTACATTATTTCATTTTCTACATATATAATTGTAATAATACTAATAAATATAAATTTAATTGATTTTCCATTTTACTTTAGAAATATTATTTTTCTTTGCTTGATAATCATTTTTATTTCATTAATACCTCATTTTATTGTTAAATTAACAGAGTGTTTGCTTTAAGAGCATTTGTCACTTTATGCATAAACAAACTGATTTTAACATTCAAAACTATCAAAATATGTCAATTATGAAGTAATTGTGCAAATAAATTTAAGAATGTTTTAGTTTGATAAATATTGTTTATAATCATTTATAAATATCTTTTGGTAAAACAGATTTAATTAGTAATTTACTTATTACTTAATAAAAATTAAATTGGAAATAAATTATAATAATCAGAGCTTACATTTATATAAGAATCACTGGAATTGCCATCTTGTTGAGATTTCACTAAAGCGCACAATCCTGGCACAACAACCATTTCCTTATTATATATTTATACACCTATATTTAAATAGAAAAATTTTAATTTCAAATGGAAAATTTAGCTTAAAATAGCCAAAGTGGCTATCGCCTACCTGGACGTACGAGCACCTGCCCGTCTCCAATGTAGATCAATATCATACTGCCGTCATATAATTGCTTGATGAGTTTTTCTATATATATATATAAAAAAAATTTAATTTATAAAATTATATTTGTATTTTACTTTATATAATATTAAATCAATTACTGGTATATGTTTTATACAGTTATACTTAAATTTTAAAACTGTACACTTAAAATTTTACTATCTATTAATGGTTTGCTACCAATATTTGTTAACCACTAAAAATATATATATTGTATTTATTGATAAATTTTTGTATGAAAGCTGTAAAATCTGTTATTTATTCTGGAAGTTATTTTTATGAATGAAATAATCCTAATTTTGTTCAATAAATGAAAATCTGGGGCCGTATTCTGGTCACTGTCTCTGGTCTCGTCTCTCGCAAGCTGGTCGCTGATTGTCTAATCATTTGGATTAGTCAATCAGCGACTGGCTTGCGAGACGAGAGACAGTGACCAGAATATGGCCTCTGATAAACTAATTTTAATATTTCATCATCATTTTAACAATATAAAAAGATTAAATTAAATTATTCAATGATAAAATATTAGATTATCAGCCTTGATTCAATATAAATATTATCTATCAAAATAATTTAATAAAATTAAAATTACTCTTAATAACAAATAATTTTTATATCATCAATTAAAAATATCAGAAGTTATACCATGTTTTATTACTTGATTATGAAATCTAATTTTTAAAATTCTTTTTATAAACATTAGAACAATCTCACTTGTGCATTTAATATGAAAGAAAATCAATACCAAATTGATCTAGAAAATAGAATTTTGTTTCTTTGAAATCTAAAATATTCCAAATTCATCATTTTATTAACTTAACGATGTTAAGGGACAAATGGCCAAAGCAGTAAAAGTATCAGCCTATTATTCTAGGATCTGGATTTGAGTCCAGATCACAAATTTTCATGTATGATTGACCTGGAAAAGTTGGACACCATTGCTTATCATTCTGTTGCTTCCATTATGAACTTTGGCAAATTCATAATGGGCATAAAAAAAGACCATCTTACAGGGCAGTTTAAAAAACATCTTGTAATAAATGGTCAAAGTTTATTATTAAATATATAAAAATCTATTTTATAAAACTATTAATTTGTTTCAGAAAATGAATACTTTGTATGTTTTCATGCATTATTTATAATAAAGAATGTGGATAACAAACAGTGTTATATAAAGTATAGTAATTATAAGTTTTTGTTTTATTTATTTATTTTTGTTTTGATTTTAATTTAAGATGCTTGTAAAAGGCCAACGTGGCCACAGTGTGTTTTTGAGAAAAAAAAAAAAAATTATAAATAGATTATATTAATTTATGAACTTTTTGTTTGTTATTTAAATTAAATCAATAGATTCTGACTTTTTATATGATTAGAATTTAATTAATTTAGAATGTAAATCAGATGGGTAAGCAATATCATAGTATATATTAGAATTAAATTAGAATTAATTAGAATTCAAAGACCATAAAAAATGTTTACTTTTTAAGTGGGTGAATATTTTAATCATAATATTACCAATAGGTATCTACTTTCCAAAACTGTTTTCTAATTAGTCCAATTGTGGTTCCAATGACAAATTAAAAGTTGCTATGCACTGTTTTACCAATACATATATTTATTCCATTGTAACAAATACAACAAAATAGGCTTCCATAGAAACACTGTAATTTCAAACTTGTAGCATTTCCTTTTCATTACACCATGTTTAGCTGCCAACAAACATCAAGAGAAAACATTACACCTATTGGTAATATTATGATTAAAAATTAGAATTCAATTTTAGAAACATCTAATGAAAAAATTGATCCAAAATAGAATCCAAACAGATAATTCTCACAAATTTTTATTAAGAGTTCTTTCTTACAAATTAATAAAGAATTTTTATTTAGAAATAATTATTAAAAGAATCAAATAATTTTGCCTATAAGGGCATTGCCAATAGCATTTATAAATAAATAAATATATAAGTAATAAACAGATTTTAATTTGAAAAATTTAATAAGTAACTAGAATTGTAACTCACACTTTAAATTAATTTGAATTTTCAGTATCAAATATGACAATATTTTCTTAAATATGCCAGTTCTTTATTAAATGCATTATATAAAATGTGAAATGATGTAGAAATATGTACAGGCATACCTCGACTTACGTCGGTTTCGAGTTATGTCGTTCCCGATTATACGTCGCTTGTTAAAAAAGTATATGGAAAAATAAAAATCAAGTTTAAGTCATTTTATTCGACTTTACGTCTGTCCGCCACAAATATTGAAGTCGTAATATCACTAGATAAACGTTTAAAGCACATAAAATCATATTAAAATATATACAAGTATGTACTGTATTTACAGTACACGCATTCGTAAATTTAGATTACTTTTTTTGTACTATATTAAAAACTAAAATTTATTTGTTTGTAAGCTTAAAATAGATTTTTATTAACCATATATTATTTAAAATGCTTTCCTAGTGATAAGTAGATTCGGAGACAGGTAAATTCGACTTACGTCGTTTTCCTGGAACCAATTACCGACGTAAGGCGAGGTATACCTGTATTGTATAATGTTAATTATGACATTAGTTACAATTCAGTTATAAAAATTTTATATAGTACATAAATATTACATATATACTGCAATAAGTTTAATAATATTTTCTTGCATGTATTTTTCCAGGTTTTTAGTTAAATGTTGCATTTTTGATCATCTAAACATTCTCAGACTAATACAGCTGATGTAAACTCTTCCAATTGTATAAATGTCTAGCATAATTTTTATTTTCATTTTTGCTAATTTTAAAATAATCCCTAGTTATTATTAATTAATATTGTTTATAAATATGAGATCATATTTATAAACAATATTAATTGTTAAAATCATATAAATCAATATGTAATCAGTAAAAGTTTGCTTATATCTTCATTTTGTTATTGCTTCATTCAGTATAACTAGATTTAATTTTGTATGTAACTATCCATTTTATGTAATAGAAATAGATATTATATTTACAGTAGGACTAAGTATATTTATTCAAAATATCAAAACCAATCAAAAGCATAAAATAGGATGGTCATTTTCATACTTCCAGAAGGGAAGACATTGAAGTACTGTACATGTCAATAGAGTACCTATACAGTGGGCGAAGTTTAAGGAATGTTAACATTTTTGATTCAGTTAACAGGCCATATATATATATATGGCCTGTATATATAGACACACACTACATTTTGTACATTTGGGATTATATAAATGAAAATTTTTCAAATATTTCTTCATCAGGTTGTGGCATTTGGGATTTAGGTAGGATTACCAGACAATTCTTTATTTTAGAAAAACTGTCAATTAATAAATATGCACTACCTTTTAGTTTTAACTTAGCTTAATCCAAATTGTTATAATTTGGTATCAAGTGTGTTCATCAATTTTATTAGCTAAACTGTCCTTATCCTTATTGAAACAAGGATGCAATTTGCCCTTCACATTCATTTTTCAATATCTACACTTTATAATAGCTAAGGCTAGGATATCTAGGCACTAAATCATACAAGTTATAACTTATATGACTTTTAGTGCTTGAATGTTCTAGCCTTAGTAATGGCAATGACAAATTTCCACACAGGCATATGACTATCTTTATATATCAATTCATATCCTTTCTGATAGAAAGCTATGGTTTACCACCATTAAATATTTTAAATTCCAAATATTTATAGTCAATAAAAAAAAACTATAATATTTAAAACTAAATCTAAAACTGTAATGTTCTGTTTACAGTTTTTAGATTTAGATTGAGTAAAAACATCATTAAATTTCTCTTTTTTGAGATGGGTGGAGTAAAAGTTGGAGAATGGTAGCCTACATTAATCATTTTTAAGTGTCCTTTAATCCAGCTGTAGGAATCTGGCAACCCTCAATTTCAGTGTGAACACGATGGAAATGCATGTCACATACATCCCTTTCCATCACTATTATAAAGCAAAAAAAACTCATTTCATAGTTACTGGGAGGTTTTTATTTAGCAATCTTGTATACAGATCAGCTTATATAGGTCTCAAATCCTGTTTCTTACTTCAACAGACATAAAGGCACACTTTTTGATGGATCCTACTATATAGCCATTGCCCTCATGTGTATTTCTTATAATTTAATCTTTAAAAAGACCTCACTCTATTCTAATTTTTAAAATAAATTTCATAAAAATAAAATTTTCATTTACGAGTACAGTATAATTGTTTTATAGGCAGATCTCAAAAAAGGAGGACAAATTAATTTCCAGTTTGACATGCCAGATAAACGAGTGCCCGAAAGCTGGATGTTTACTGTAATGTGCAGTACATGCAAAGAATTTCAGATAGATAACTCACTAACAAAAACTGTTGTGTTTGTAGATGGATCATAATAATGAATATTCAATCAGAACATATCTATAAAACAACAATTGTATCTATGTAAAAAGACAATACGATTCATTCATGATAAATCTGTATAGAAAATTGTTTCTAAAACACCTGAATTATTCTGTATACACTTTTAATATATTATGCTTCACTCGAAATGGCCGAATGTGTTAAGTTAATGCTAAAGTGAGATTTTTGAACAATCAAATGAGCCAAGATTATATAAAGAACTGTCGACTGTCAACCAAAAGTTGGTTCAGCATTATATAAGAGTGCTTTCCCTAGTATATATCACAGTAATAATTTTCTTCTATTTAGATATAAATCAGGTTTATCTTATTTAAAACATATCAAAGTTGTAATGGTTGAGATATTATCTCTCAACCATTACAACTCCGATATTATTTTTTCTGGCCCTAGATAATTAATATCCTTTGCCCTCCTCTAGGCAATCTTGCTTATATATAATTCGAGTGTCCAAGAGAAATACTTTCATCCGATTCAAATACATGTCACGTGTGTCCCACTTCCGTCGAGGCACACGTGATATATGTTGTCAGTTTCATTGCTAACTTTTAAGTTAATTTTACCCAAGAACCAGTCTCTGTACAATAATGTCATTCGTCTTACATTTGCCTCAAGACACCAAATAAAAGTTATAATTAAATTTTGTTTAATTATTATACTTTAATATATAATATACTTTATAATAAATAAACCCTTTACTAACCTACTTCGCAACATTTCTCGTCACGCCCCCTGCAAAATTTAACAGGAAGTCTTCCTAATCTAAATGAACCTAATGTGTAAACTCGTTCTGTTTTTCGTAAAATTTAAATTATGGAAAGAACATAAAATATTTGAATTGATTCATTTTTTGTTCTTTGTTTGATAAAATTTTCTAAGTATAAAAATCTGAATATTAACTTCCATATAAACTTGAAAAAGATTTAACAAAGTAGGGAATGTCAACAAGAAGATTAGAAAAAAGTATTTTATAGAAAAACATTTGTGGTTAAAGATTATTTAGCATTAATTCTGTAATAAAGTTTATGGACCATAAAAATATTTGTGCATTCGAATGATGACTTTTTAGGGATTCTTCCCGTGCCGAGAACATTTTAAAAAAGCCTCCATTTAGGTTCATCGCTTGTTGTCACAATGGAATGTCAGTCGGCGAAGAAATGGGCCGACAATCTATGAAAACTTTTGAAGATCTGAGCAAATTCGAATTTGGATTACTCAGATCAAAGAGGAGTATCTTTATCGTTGCGGCCTTCTCCTATGCTATCTCACTCTAACTATGGAAATTCGCGATAATTGTTCTCGTCGTATTGTATTAATAATTTACACGCGGCATATTTATTGCATCTTTAATTGAATATCCTTCGATTATGACCGTAAAGAAAAATTTAAAAATTTATTTTGGTATTATGCACCATTTTCTATGACGGATGACTGGACGGCGTAAACGGTTAAGGCGTCTGCTGCCTCTCATATCCGGGATCGAATTTTTTCGGAAATGGTTCCTTGCCACACGACTGTCCCATTCCAATGTTTGAAGGATTTTAAGAAACAAATAATTCCTCTAAACCTTTTATTATTTTATAAAATATAATTAATTATTGATTTAAGAGTTTATCTTTATATGAATGTTCCCGTCCTGTGGTTACTAAGATGGCCTTTCTTTCCAGGTCCATAGTGAGTTCGGCTAGGCCCACAACGCAGTGGCCCAGGTGTGACATAAATCACAATGAAACTTCCTGGGGTTGCTTTGTCCGGATTCGATCCCGGTTTCCCCAGGACTGTAGGCTGACGTCATAACCGGATCATTGCAAATATTTTAATCAAAATTTACAGAAGATTGACTCCATCGTTCCAATGAGATTGAGTAAGTCTACTTTAAATGGTAGAAAAGGCATAAGTTTGCTTCAATTAATTAATGGAAAGCATCAACACAGTATAGACAATTAATTAATGGTTGGACTCGACTCACTGTAGGATCTAACGACACCCCGACCATTACTAATCATGATAATTTCTATAAATATAAATTATGTCACTGCGATAAACCGAGACTATACCGCGTGGCTATTTAAAGCAATTTATATTGTAAATTGGCTTTATCCAATCGAATGAAATGAAATTATCTTTTTAATCAAGGGTTAAGTCCAGGTGTCCAGATGGATTACATCCAGCATATAAATAAACGAGCCAGTGACTTACTTAGATGCACCCAAGGTCAAGATTTAAAGGTCTTATGTAAATTTCGCTCGTTTCGTGTTAATTTAACGGTAAGAAGTAACGGATAATAAACGATTCCAACAAACGTAAGAAATTTTATTAGAGACGAAACAAGTGTCGTTAGATATGGAGGTTCATAAATCCACTTCGCAAATATCGTGCCAATGAGACGATATCTCCCAAGGACCGTTTATTCTGTTCACTCGATTTTTGTCATTTATATTGAATTTAACGTTCTTCCAGAATCGATTTCCTTTGAAGAAATACAGAGTCCGATCCGTATAAGAAAAGTAAGCGCCGTCCAAGTGAGACGGAGGGTGAGATTTGGGCACGAGACTGGGAAATTCTTTCTTGATAAATCGTGGATAACCGGGAAGACAGCATCCTTCTTTCCCACGACTTACGTCATAGCCGTAGACCTTCAAAGAAAACAAATGATTTAGAACAATAACGTAAATTTCCGCGGAAAAACTGTTGCCACGCTTACCAAATTGCCCTTAAAGAAATACAAATTTTCGTCTCTTCGATCGAAATATACGGTATCTATGTGATCCGGGATGTTCGGGAATTTGGATCCGGGAACGGCTCTAAAATCTTCGGATATGTTTCTTGGATAACCCGCCACTACTTGACCTCTGTCGCTGTCGTAAAGCCAATAGTGAGAACCTGAAAATATTTTATTATTATTTTCCTACGCACATATCGACCCTGACCCTTACGGGCCAAGGCTAAGAATTAATCAACTATTGTAGAGATTTCTGACTTTGACTTGGTGAAAGGTGTGGGTTGTGCCGTGTCAAAGTTTAAGAATTCTCTATTTATTTCGCATACGTTAAACTTTACGTTATTTGGCTATAAAAAGTGCTCAAGAATTTGTAAACAGAAGACAATAAACAAATTTTAGCGTATTCGTAATTCGTCTTTTCCGCACCAGCCGGATGGCTGAGTGGTAAAGGCGTCGGTTTACCATTCTGAAGATCCGGGATCGAATCCGAGCAGTTAAAGTCTTTAGAAATATCTCTGGTTTCGTGGAATAAAATGCAACATTTTGATGATCTGCTGTGGAGGGTTTCTACGGGAAGCTGACCCCTCCCTAGTTAGGTGTTAAGCACGTAAAGGAAACACAGAAAATGCCTCATCGACGTGCTGGTGAGGCTCTAAGCCACCACTAATTATTTAGTTTTATCGGCCACTGGTGGGTGGAATTTTTGGGGTTGTTTGTTTTTCGAATGTATTGGCCCTTCACTACTCGGTCGCTCTATTGCGGGCCTGGTCGAACCCTTGATGATTATGACTGAAAGGCCCTGTGATTGTATGCCGGACGAAAAGAATTTAAAAAATAAAATATAATAATGATAAATGAAAAAGTTATGAAAATCATTCTTAAATAAACTGTTCATTTTTTTAATTTTAAAAAGATTAAATTTGATAAAATTTTCATTTAAAAGTTAAAGTTAATTATTTAAATAAATTTAAAAATAGAACCTTATTATAAATTTTAAAACGAAATAATTAATTATTTGACTAAAATCATTGTAGAAAGTCGAATGTATATAAAAATCGATGCTATTTAAGTAATAACGAGATAAAAACAATTAAATTTAATTATTTTAACAGTTTAAACAGCTTTGAAAATCAAATTTTTTAATTAGAATAGTTAATACTTATCATTATTATAAATTGAAATGAGATTTCGGGAGGTAGAATGAAGTTGGTGAAATTGGATACTAACTTCACTTACGGTATATTCTGTTCATTGAGATATTGCATTAGATACAATTAAACGTCATATTCTAGTGTTTGCTACCTTTCCGAGTAATTTAGTTCGGTGTGTTATGGCAACGAAATGCAATGGGAGATCTGTCAAGGGGTATCTTCACGGAAGACTTTCTATGAGAAACTAGCCCCTGTTTAGGTGTTACAAACGTGAAGAAAACTTGAAAAATTCCACGTGGCCAACTTGTTGGCGAGGCGCGAACCCACAACTACCAGCGTTAGGTGGTTTTATCCACTCGGGCAGGTTCAATGTGAATGGTACTGTATGCAAATTCATAACATTAAAATGCTTGATTTTTTAATTCTGTAACCTATTCCACGGAATCGAGATATCAGGATCGATTCTTTTCGGATCCTTACGAGTTCTCATACAGTATAAGAGACGAGACATCCTCTTCCATCCTTTGCGCATGAGTTGATCGATCCTCTTGCGGGTTACCACGTCTTTTGTAGATTCGAAATAGTTCGCACCACTGGTAGAAGCCCATCGATGGCCGAGTGGATAAAACCACCGAAGCTGGTCGCGGATTCGTGCTTGACTCGTGACTATCTAGGCTTACTGATGAAAAATTATGAAATTGAGGATGAATTATTCTGAAAAAGAGGGCATTGACTCCCGAATTTAGAAACAATGTATTTGACTAGAGTGAAAGCAGATTTTAAATTGAAAGTGGAAGACACGTCATTTTCTTTCTTTTCTTTCTTCCTCGTTAGTTGTATTTATAAGTGTGTGCCAGCAAATAGCACGAAATATCTCGAAATGCATTTATAAATCACGTAATTAGAATATGGCATCTTGAAGCGCGATATTAAACGTCGATGAAATTATTCCGACGTGAGTGCAACGAATCGAGTAAACAGCGAGCAGCAGCTCGAGAAATTGTCTCTTTTATTGTCTGTTATTTTGTAATTTAACATTTTAAGCTTAATTGTATTAAAATTTCATACATAAAATCAATGCGCAATACATATTGCAAACTCACGGTTAACTTCCTCCAACAATTCAAACTTGGATTTTATGTTGTAACACGAATTTTGTTGCTTCTTTGTAATTAAACCACATAAAAATTAAGTTATCCTAAAATGATGTCTTGAGATAAATTTGTGAACTGTCCTTAGGGTACGACTCACTGGCGTGGCTCGCATGGTAGTGGGTGGATAGTGGCCTGGAGGCACTTAACCACCACGTGTTTTGAAATGGAGCTAGCCGCATTGGTTCTTGCGATTTTAAAGTATAATTTCATATAACTCTGTCGTAAAATATACTAAATCAATTAACCGAAGGGATATACAGTTACCTTTGAAAAAATAAGCTTTATTCTGAGAGTATGTCCAGACGTGAGCGTAACCGTCGATACCAGACGAAGGTAAACCTTTCCATTCCACTTCTATGTTATGGGGATCGCCGTAACGGGTGCGATTATGCCTGTTTTCGTACATCCAATATTTGTTCTTTCGAAAGAAGTACGTGTTGTATATGAACTGTCCGTCTGGTTTACTTCTGACCCAATCGAACACTGCGTCGAAACGACCTTTGCACACCCCTGAAGAAGCAAAATAATTAGAAAAAAGAAAACCTGATGAAGATAAGATTCGGAGATGAAAAATTTAAATATCCTCACCGTACAGACGTTGTATAGTTTTCCTGTCTTCCCATTCCAGTTCGAAGTTGTTGGTGGGGATTATTTTAGAGTAGACGGCGTGCATAATGGATTTCTGGTGCGACGTGTGAAACAATCCCAGAGTGTGTCCCACTTCGTGGATTGCTACCTTCACCAAATTGGTACCCTGTTCGGAGCCGATGGTGAAGAATTCGTCGTCGTCTACGTGTATTTCCGAATTGTGGGCCATGTTAATGGCGTGTGACAATTGTCCTCCGTATCCGTCGAAACGATTCGGACAATTTAAGTGTTCCCCTGTGTTGGAAATTTTAATTTTACGATTAAAAGGGTGACTCAGAAAGAAAATACTCATACAAAATAAAAATAAAGTAGAAAACAATTATATAGAAGAACGTTTAGAACTAATAGAGATACCTGGCGTCTCTTCCAGTTTCCTTGATACATTTAGGGATATTCCCTTAACTTTTATAATAGACAAATAGACAAACATACAGACACCTTCAAAAAATTTATACGCAGCTTAGGTTAAAAAGAAACGAATAGTCTTATACGGTTTCCAACACTAACGAAGAGAAGTTAATGTATGCCACGTTGTGATTTTAAACGTCTGAATTTAAAAATTTTACTCATTTTTGCTGGTATATAAAAGCTTTTTCTGTCTAGAAATTATATACAGGGTGGGCCAAAAATCAGTTAACCGACATGTTATGCATTTAAGAACCGTTTAAACCGGTCTGGAACGGCACATTAAAGCCCTTAATTAGCACATTAAAAACCTTATTCACAACCAATAATATTGAGTTAAAATTAGAAAATGAGCAATTACCATTCATTTTATCTTTAGTACGCTCGCTTATTGGCTAATTTCTAACTCTAACTGCATCCTTGGCTTCGAATACAGACATTAGAGGATTTAGACTTTATCTAAGGTGCCAATGCGCTCTTTATTCTCAATTATTTATTATTATTTTTAATTTTCTAAATATTCGATTTTCTTTATTCAGAATATTTTTCTGTTTCTGTAAGTTCCAAACCTTTACTGATATACAATGAATCGTTAATTGTTTAGACTAAGATAGTTTTAGAGCATTTGGTGCTGACGCTTTTCTCTGCTCATTTTTCTATACCGATTGACCCCATTGAGAGTCAGGCACGCGTATATTGGGCAAGATTTAGAGCTGCCACAACCTATGCACTAATGGCAAAACGTTATTCCAAAAGGAAAATCGTGTACTAAGAGGTAAAATATTCAAGAAAGAAGTTACCTCTTCCGAAAGCCAAAAGGATATCGACGTCTTCAACGGGCGATTTCGTATCCTCCCAAAATATCAGAGGGATGACTTCGGACCACATCCTGAAAGCCAGGGCAAAAGCCGCTCTCTGCACGTTTATACTCATCTGTCCACTATAAGCGGAACTTGCCAGTCTCCACGTTACCATTTCCTGTTGTGAAAATTTATGTAGAAAATTAATAGAAATTAAAACATAAGAATGGCCAGAAAGCGTAAACTTGCATGCTAATTGCACATTGCGATGAGGGATCCGAGTTGGGGTATGGCATCTTTCGAAATATTTTAATATTTTATCAATAAGTTCGAAACTAAATATTAATTAAAGAAAGTAAACGCGTAACTGAATATAAATATGACAAATAAATACTATTTAATTACGTTTATCATGTATAAATTATTCGTTAAATCTTAGATAGCGGAGATGCCACAGGGGCCATTTCACTTGCCCTTGGAGGCTTCTTGTAAGGTGAAGGCCTCAAAATTTAGTGTTTTATGTAAAACACATGGTTGGGAAGTGATGCAAATTAAAATTTCTTTAGATAAGTGTTGTAAAATTATTATTTTTTTTTATTAGTTTTATTCATGCATTTTTATGGCTTTCGGAGAAGGGTGGACCACACATTTGTCGCTCAATAATTTAAAATCACGCTCATAATTTAAACTGTTAAAAATATTCACATATTATATCTCTGATTTTAGTAAATTCCCGTTTTACGACTGTTATAAATTTTTCATTACGACTGCATGAAAATACACGGAACAAAAAAATAGATAAATATGCAAATTTTCTTACATAATTAATTTTTAAAGATATAAAATTATGCTTTCTATATTTCTTGTAGCATATTTTCTGAATAATCTAATGAGAAAATGTTAAATTTTATAGCATCCGCATCATTCTAAAACTATCTAAACTGTGGCTCGCGGATTACCAAGGATTATCGAAAGTTGTTATTGCATAAACCATTCTCACAACAAGGAGTTTGGAAAAGCCAGAAGTTCTATAAAAATATCAGTTCATAATCAGGCATGATGAGCGGAAATTGTTTTTAGTGTGAGTCAGTAAACTCCCCCACCCAACCGCTCATTCTGGGTCTAGCCGAACCCATGATTAAAAGGTCTCCTCTTAGTGCTCTCATAATAGTCAAAGATGAAAAAAAAGGGTGAGAATGGAGTATGCCCCGATTCATAGTGCTCGTAATGAAGTATGGATTCGAACTGGAGTTTCTACAGAGATAGGCCCACAGTCATTTTATGTACAGTACTTGAGGGTCCTGTTCCAATCTTTTAGAGGCATTGTGTGATATACATATATGAAAAAAAATATTAGTAATAAACAGTGAGATGAGGCCCTCGCAGTGGCACTTTATCCTATGGTCACAAAGGTCAATTGCCCGGGGATACCACCAATAGGGAGCCCCAAACAAATCTTTTATAAGAAAATTTCCCCAAAATTCTCTACAGTCAACACTGTACACGGGGCCCCTAATTCAAATTCGCCCGGACGCCCACGAAGTTATAAAGCTCTACTGGGTTCTCGAGTACGGCGTTTATGCCCATGCATTAACGTGATCCTGAGTAGACCGCGACAACCAGTTCCCAACGAACACAACGCGTAACACCAGTACAAAGAACTGTGCTATTGTTACGCAAGCAGCCAAATCATATTAACCATTTAAAAATTACCTCGACTAAATATTGATGCTGTTTTCTTTCTTTACCCGTCGACCTCTTTCTTCTTCGTTTTTGTATCAAAGCACGTTGCACTTCGTTTGAAGTACAATTGCCCAATTTTCCCATTTCTAATTTCTTAATATATTCCTTCATCCAGGACTTTCTTATAGGAACCATCCCTTTGCCAAGAGTATCGGGATCGTCTTTCGTCTTTGAGTTATTCATCACGTGACGCTTGGATCGTCGATAATAAATGGGTAAAACACTATTAGGATGACCTTTAGAAACGAACGGAATTCATTAGAAACGTCAGAGATTAATACAATTTAAAAATTACACAAGAAAAACACTCATAAATACGTTTATTGTGTCTTCTGCGATGCCCCAACTCGGCAAAATTATCAGAATTTCCACACCTGGACATGCTCATGTGCTTCAAAGTTTCTTCGTCTAAACGTCCCGTTAATGGCATTCCATATACTTGCTGATAACGTTTGATGGCATCTCGAGTTTGCCTCTTGCTACAGAATTTATTAGAATTACCATTGCTGGCGGCCATTTTGGATTTTTTAGAGTTGCATCTGAGATATCCGTAACGTATTAAAATTTCCTTGAAAATATATTTAAAATCTAAATTAAATTTATTGTTAGAACGTACTAATTCGAATATATGGAAGCCACAAATGTTACCTTGGCTTTAGTTTCTGAGGTGACGAGGTTGCTGTTTTCTGTGGAAGTGAATTTCCACGAAGGCAAACGTTGCTTGAGTCTATAAGATATTCCGAATGATCCAAGAAAGAAGAGAAATATAAATAATTTTCGAATTAACGCCCCTTCCATATTTCCTGTCGATGCGATGACATTCCGTTTTGGAAACTGCCAAAAAATATTTTAAAATGAAATTTTTAAGTCGTGGGTTCGGATCCCTACAAGAGATCCGAACCCACGACTTAAAATAACTAAAGGAATGTTACAACATTAACAATTATTTAAAGAAATTACAGTTACAGCTCGTAATTTATTTAATTAACTTAATTATAATTAAATTCTATAACTATCAATTGCTTATTAATTAAAACAAGTAGGACTAATTATAATTAAAATACATTCACACCGTTTAACAACGGCCACTGACGGAAACGTAAAAATTGGCCGCAGTTTAGAGGTAACCGTCATCGAGATGCGCCCATTATTGAAGGTTCAACTATAGCTTATAAAGTTACTTTCGAGGAAAGTCGCGAGTTCGGCTCTCTGGAAGAGAATCGAACCCGCGACTTCCAGAAAAGCTCAACTTAAGTACGTATCTCGTATAAAGAAAAGGTCGGCCATCTTGCAGCGCAGTTGCCTGCAGCGTGATAAGTAATTGAAAATTTTGATGGAGTTATTAAAGTAAGACGAATTAAGGACCAATTATTGATTTCGTCTTATTGCTGTATAATAATAGCTTAATATATTTTTTACTCGTGGCTATTAAATCAACAGCCTTATAACTTATGCTAATTAATGCAATTAGCATAAAAAGGAAGCTTAATTACTGATTAATATGCGAGAAGAGTGTGGGGTGAGTTGCTCAACTTGTTGATGTAACTTCGTGTGTCGTCTTTATTAACGAAGGAATTCGCAAGGAAATGCATTTACATTCTTATCCCGGGATGGGTAAGACCGACGTTTTTTCATTTTCATAAAATAAAATGTTACAAAATTGTAATAATAGTTACAAATCATGCTTTTGTAACTAATAATAATCTAGATATTATGCATCATCCAAGCCAGGAGATTTGCCTCCTCTCCTTGTATCTAATTGTTCGTAGTCATTAAACATAAAATGCATTGTTTTGTTACAATATTGCCCACTTTTACATCACTCTGACATCGTTCCTACTTTTGTGTAACGAGAAAGTGTCAAAATGGCAAGAGTGTACTACAATGCGAATGTTCTTGTAAAGTGTATTGTTTTATCAGAATAGGGTATAATTTTACGTCACTTATACACCGTTTCTACCTATAACGAGAAAGCAGAGGCGCGTTATCCTATGGGCGAAAGGATCTATTGCCTGGGGCCCTCATCAACAGGAAGCTTCAAAACCAATGTTTTATAAGAAAATGTTTCTCTCAAAAAATTCACCCGAAGAAAAATGTTCGAAGTCGACACTGTACAGTACATGGGCCGTTCTAATTTAAATTCGCCCGGGCCCCTTGAAACCACTGCCAGAAAGTATCAAACTGACTTAAGAGTGCACACAGTTGTACAATACGAATGCATCTATAAAATGTATTGACTTGTCAGAACAGCGCACGATTTTACGTCATTCATATTAAATAAATTCGTCCGTTGTCGTTCGTCCGTTTGTATAAATAATTTATCGATGAAAAAGGGTAAAGGCCATCACGGTGGAGTTCTCTCCTCTGTTTTAAAATAAATGCGGAGTTTTCCTTATTTATTTCAAAATTTTCATCCGTTCTTCCTTCGGCCACCAGTAACCAAGAGGACGAAACCACCGAACACTGGTAGTTGGTGGCAGTAGCGTGTTATAGTTTCGTGGGGCCCGGGTGAATTGGAATTAGGGGCCCCGTGTACAGTATTGACTTCAGACATTTTCCTTCGGGGAATTGATTTGGGGAAATATTTTCTTATAAAATAGTGGTTCGGGGCTTCCTGTTGTTGTTGTTGGGTGCACCAGACAATTGCCCTTTTTTGCCCATAGGATAATGTGCCACTGGTTGGTCGCGGATTAGAGCGAACTTTCCGAGTTTTATTTACGCGTCTAACATCTAAATGGGGGCCAGTTTCCATAGAAGTCCTCCCGGGAGGCACCACCCCTCGACAGATCGCCTAGTTCCATCAATCGAATTCAATCCGATCCACCTTTCTTTAAATAAAAAAGGGAAATCCCCTTCTCTCCTTTATAAATGGGCGTGTTTTTCCTCCTCTCCTTCGAAAAGGCAAAATAACTATGAAATTTCTTCTTTAAAAAAACGGGCCAACGTCCCATTTTTCCCTTTTTTACTACAAATTATGAAGTAAAAACAAGAAAAATATAACAATTCCAAGTTAAATAAAATAAGCCTACTTTTCTTCGTAATGTTCTTTTTAATAAAACTTCATGAAAATAGCTTTAAAATATTGTTAAATTCATTTTATTTTTTTAGCACTTACAGTTGGCATTTATCGCGAGTGGGCCAGCAAATTTGTTACAATTGTTTACAATATACAATAACAAGTTGGCTCCTTTCCACAACAACAACGTAATTTATCATTCGATAACCATGTACAGAATACCCTCGCTTTACGACCTCATCCAGTTTGTACGATTAACTTCTTACGACTGACGTAAATTTTCTATTGTGACTTTATAATATCACAATATGAGGTATTTTACAAGTTCAAAATAGGAAATAAAAGCTAGTCTTCATAACCGAATGGAAGCAGAGCGGTTCGTTTTACGACGGTTTTCCAAGAAACGGTTGAGACGTAAATCGAGGGACCTTGCAGGTGTCGATTTTTGTTTACGTATCGTTTATTTAATATTAAAAATGCATTTTTCGGCAACCGACTTGGTTGTAAAAGTGGTGTTTACATCCTTTTTATGTTCTAATTGGTCTACGGAAGAACCGTCGTAAAGTGAGCCATCGCATTATTCATAGTTTCACTGCAGTAAAGTGAAGTCGTATGTTCATAAATGACAATTAAATTATCTAATACCACACAAGAAAGGCCAACGAAAAGCTGAGTTCTTGAAATAGGGCATTTTATATAGTAACGATAGAAGATGTATGCTAGTGGAAGTACAGTACGTAGTAAGACGAGGTTTTCGTATGTTCCAAATGAGTGAATTTAAATGTCAGCTGGCCCATCGGCGGTCGAGTGGATAAAACTGCCGAACATCGTGGGTTCGCGCCTGGCCAAAGGAAGGGCCACATGGAAATTTTCACGTTTGTAACACCAAAATAGGGGCCAATTTCGCATAGAAATCGTCACGAGGGGGTAATTGGCCAGTGGTCGCATTGCCATATATAAAGAAGCATAAATATGTCATCCGTGTAATCAGATTAAAATATCAATTATATTTTCGATAGTATTACATACACAATATATATATCAATTTACTTTTGTAATAGTGAGCTTATTCGAATGCAGCAGCCAGCCTAACTACAAAGGTGTACGTAATTTCATGCGGATTACGTGTTTAAGAGAGAATTTGAAAATGGGTGCGGGTTATAAGCCGATTTTAAATTGCAATTTCGAAATTTCTTCATTATTTTCATCAACTCTTCCATTAATTTCTTTTACAGTATTCCATTTCAGCGACATTACTCTTTTTATAACGTTAGAATTGAATTGATGGAATATGGGCGATATCTCCCCAGGGGGACTGGCTATGGGAACCGACCCCTTACTTAGGTGTTAGACACGTGAAGAAATTTCGCAAAACTCCACGTGTCATAACAGATGTGAACCCACGACTGGCATTCTACGGTTTTATCCACTCGCCAGTGGACGAGTGGATAAAACCATCGAATGGCAAAGTAGCGTATATGTAACACTAAATAATTGTTCTGCTGAGCATTTATTGTTAATAAATTATTAATTATTTTCATTTCCGTCATTTTTTATTGAAATTATTAATTAGGAAAATTTAATTAATTTAATTCAACCTGTCCAAATTTAAAGAAAATCATATCGTTTAGTATCTAATGCGAAATTTATTGATATAAATTCGATAAAACAACTTTTACGAAGCTGAAAAAATGAATTTATATACGATGCATCACCATTAAGTACGGCACTCAATAATACTTTTAAAAGTGTAGTATTGTATTTATGCATTAAACAATGCCTCTAATCCTGCTAGCCCTTCTGTGATACAACCTGCTTAAATATAAGCACTTCTAAGAGAACGGGTCTCATATATAGAAGGCTGCTTTTCGTCTCTGGGAGGCTCTGTGTTATAGATAGCCTAAACATTGTACTATGAGAAACAAATTAGCCTATAGACCTACCCTACTAACTAGACAAGGGGTTATTAATACTCACGTATCAATATCAAATTAAATTACACAGCACGTGCCAAAATGGAGATAGAGCCATACAGAGTCGCATCAGAACATTCAGAATTCTTACAAAGGACGAGAAATTTGTCATTATTTATCAAAATACTCTTTACCTTATTTAAATATTTTAATACTAGTTACAGTCAAACCTCTGAACGACGGCCACTAACGAAATCGTAAAAAGAAATGGCGGCGCAGTTTAGTGGTGACTCTTATCGGAGGTTCGACTGTACCACGTTTAAATGGTTATTTGGCACTATTTCACACACACATGTCTTTAAATGCCCTTTTCTTTCAAGATAAGGACAATCTATAGATTTACTTTATCCTGTAGGTTACGTATAAGTATATAGATGTCCACAGATAGGATAATGGTAAACCTGTAGGATAGGTTTACCTTTATCCTGTAGGTACCCGCATCTCTAAGAACACAAGATATAGGTGAACTACAGGTTTGCTTATATTCAATACCGGTTTTACAAAGTTAACTGAAGTTAAATGTGTTCATACCTTTGACCTTTAATCCGACTTTTTATAAATTTTACCGAAAAGTTCATAATCTTCAGCAGTTTTTTGGCATTTACACAAGGAAAAAGGCACGAATTTCTAACTTTAAATTTCTAAACAACTGGCATTTTCGGTCGCAGAAAATAATTTTCCATAAATAAAATGGGGTAGACTATAGAAAGTAAAGATGAGAGAGAAGAGAAAAGAGAAACTCACCCTTTAATGCCTTTAAAAAAACGGTATTTAAGCAAATGCACCCCTTTTAATACTTAAACTACGTTTATCAAAATTCCACCCAAAAAGTGATTTCTGTTTAAAAAGAATAAACTCGTACCCGAACAACACCCATGGGTGGACATTCCACACAAAAAAGATGCCCTTTTCTTCTATTTTAATACACATAAACATTACCTTTTATTGTCGTCTTCCGATAATACACGAGCGATACAAACACCCCGAATTATTTATCGTGTTACTAGACACAAGAGGCGAGGGAGACGATCGAAAAACAATTAAAAAAAAAACAATTAATTTGGAAACTAAACAATTGTGTAAAGGATAAAAATGATTTATTAATTAAGTAGCGAACAATAAAAAACAAATAGAAGAAGGTAGTCACGTCGGGGGAAGGGGGTAGACGTATACACTATGCATTTTGAAGGAGTGGCTCGTTAACGACGTGCCGAGGAGAGAAAGGAGATAGTGTGTTATCAAGTGTTGTCA